GCTGCAAAACTCTTAAGCATTGTTAAGTAACAAGCAGAGCTTTTAAGAACGTGGTTTTCAACTTCTCAGAAGGAACCACATGCCTTGCTGGATCACCTCACCCTGTCCTCCAAGATTTTCTTTCATTCACTGTGCATTAGGGACTCTGTTGTATTTCTTAGAGGTGGAGTGTTGTCATTAAAAAAATTAGTCTGAATTCTGTCAAATCCATATTGTGTTGCCTTCTCTACAAATTTCACTTTGGCTTCAGACTATTTGATTCAAAAAGGAATGACTAAAATAGGGAGCTTGCTGGATAGTTGGCATCTGTTTACCAAGGGAAAAGGGATTTGAAGGACGTATGAACTTTACAGCTTTGTATTTATAGGTAATTAGATATCTCAGTGAGAGAATATGACACAAATTGTTAGTTAGGCTCTGATAATTTGTTCCTAACATTTGACTTGACTTATAAATTGAATGAGTTCTGGCTTTTAAAGAGATGAGTCTTGAAAAAGTGTCTGGAAAAACAAGTCTTCCCTGTTTAAATTAGGAATGTGCCAAATGACTGGCAGGAACTTGATATATAATTTAAATTTAAAAGAGGAAGAAACAGTTCTAGATAAAGATCTCCTGGGATATCTAGGGGAAATATATGCACCTATATTTAGCTTATCCCTAGTTTCAAGCCCTAGATGCACACCCAGCAACACACACTTAGGTTTTGAAAAGAACAGGCCCTCATCTTTTGACAAGCTCTGCAAAGCTCACAAAGTTACATCCTTGTCAATCACATATGTGCTCCCCAGCCCCTTCTTTGATACACCTCGTATGCGGAGATAAATCATGGAGCTGCAGATGTTCAGGGATAGTTAGAGAAGGAAGTTGATGGTGGGTGGTCATGGATGGCAGATCCTCCACAGGAATCCTGACCCTGGGGCTTTGCCGTGAGAAGGAAGGAACCAGAGAGATTACTCAATGGCTGAGGGTGACATGGTCAGAGTGTCTTGCTAGAAATCTGCTCTTTCAAGCAACACAGGGTCAGACCTGTGAATTGGGAAAACTTTGTGGTAACTGAGATACAAATTGACTAGAACCTGAGCTAAAGCTATCAGGCTTTTGTAGAGCTGGCCATTCAGAAGGAATTTGCACAACATAGCAGGGCATCCTTGCTGGGGAAGGAGAACAGATTGCTTTAGCAGAGGGGAGGAAAGGGAACACAAGCCATCAAACCATAGCTTGTATATTGACTTTTGAAAATACTTTGCAAGAACTTGTGTGGAGAGAGAAGTTAAGATAGAGAAGATGGAGAAGGGAGGATGGAGAAATAAAACAGAAATGAGGTTTGCATTAGGGGTGGAGAGTTCAAATATGCTGTTTGACTAGGGAGAAGGCAGAACGAAGGGAGGGATTGTTCACAGAACAGGAAGTTAGCCTGATCAGAGCTCATGGCTTGTCACATTTTGCCATCTACAAGGGCAAAAACTGAAGGAGAGAAAGCAAATGGATCTGAGCCAGCATGGGGACGTGGATGGACAGGTCCATCCCTAGGACAGAAGGAAGAAGAGCTGAGCGAACAACCACATTAGCAAAGGTCAGGATAGAGAGAGTTGGGAGGTGAGGGTGAACCCATGGGGACTTTTTCTCTTAACACACTGGCCTTATGTAAAAATTACCAATGTTCTTCCTTTGATACCTGCAGGACCCAAGGAGACACCACACCATGGAAGTCACTCTCAGGAGGCACCTCCTGAGTTTTGCTGTTTTCCTGATGCATTGTGTGGTCCACAAGGCGAGCTGTGAGAAAGGCAACACTTCCCCTCTGCACTTCACCCACTTCTTCTACAATGCCACCATCTATGAGAATTCAGCCCCCAAGACCTACGTGGAGAGCTACGTCAAAATGGGCATTTATAAGACAGACCCCAAGTGGGACATCAGATACAGAATAGCCTCTGGAGACAACACGGGTGTCTTTAAAACAGAGGAGCATGTGATTGGAGATTTCTGCTTCTTGAGAATAAGAACAAGGAGCAGCAACACAGCACTTTTAAACCGGGAGGTCAAAGACACTTACATGTTAATAATCAAGGCCACAGAGAGCACCTTTGTCCACGAAGCCTGGGCCAAAGTCTTGATCCACATTCTGGATAGAAATGACCTGAAACCTCTCTTTTCACCCCCCTCCTACAAAGTGTCCATCAAAGAAGACACTCCCCTGAAAACGGTGGTGAGCACAGTCAGTGCGACTGATGCTGATGCTGGCCAGAATGCCGAGTTCTACTATGCCCTCAACACAAAGTCCGACCTATTCACCATCCATCCCACCACAGGAGCAGTTATGACCACAGGTAGGCTGAACAGCACTCATCGAGGCAGGCACCACCTGCAGGTTTTGGCTGTGGACAGAATGAGAAAGATCACAGAGGGGAATGGCTTTGGGAACTTGGCTAGTCTCATGATCCAAGTGGAGCCATCTGCCAGGAAACCTCCCTCTATCTCTTCCGTGAAGGTGACACCACCTGACTCAGCCGAAGACTTTCTCTATGCAACTCTGTCTGTAGAAAGTGGTGACTCAGAAGCAGGGATAGATTTGGTTGACTTTGTGGATGGAGATCCGGGGAGACATTTCAAAGCCATCAAATCCTACTTTGGGAGCACTGAGTTCATGATTGTGTCAACAAAAGAGATCAACTGGCTACTTTACCCATTTGGTTTCAACCTCAGTCTGCAGGCCAAGGACAAGAGCAAGCCACCACTGTTCTCTCCTATTAAAGTTATCCATATACCTCCCTCCAAGTACGTCTCTGCTAGGTTTGAGAAAGAAGCATACTGGGTCCAGCTCAGTGAATTTTCCCCAGCCGGAAGCCAGGTTGTTATGGTGAAGGTCACACCAGTCTTTCCAAATCTTAAATATATTTTGAAACCCACTCCTGACAGTACAAGCTTTAAAATCAATCCTCACACTGGACTGATAACCACAGCCAGAGCAATGGACTTCCATGAGCAGTCTCATTTTGAACTTGAAGTTACAACCATTACCAGTCACACATCCACAACTGTGGTCATTGACATCACTGACTGCAACAACCACGCTCCAAGTTTTAGTCAGTCTTCATACCGCGGGGCCTTCGATGAAAACGTTCCTCCTGGTACCAGTGTCTTAACAGTACGGGCTACAGATGAAGATGAAGGAGACAATGGCTTTGTCACCTACACCATAGCCAACCAGCAGTCGGTTCCCTTTGTCATCGACCCTTATTCTGGTGTCATTTCCACCTCCAAGTCGATGGACTATGAGTTGATGCAGAGGTGGTATCATCTGCGAGTGTGGGCGTCAGACTGGGGCTCACCCTTCCGCCATGAAACAGAGGTGTACGTCTCCCTCATGCTGAGCAACGTCAATGACAACGCCCCTGTGTTTGAGAAGGCGAGCTGCAGCGGCTCCATCCCACGGGACTTTCCCGTTGGGAACCCCGTGGCCACGGTCTCTGCCATCGATAGTGATGAGCTGCAGCATATCAAATACGAAATCAAGTCTGGCAACGAGTTACGGCACTTTGAACTGAATCCCGTCTCTGGAGTAATATCCCTCAGAGTGTCTCTGCGAGATCTTCCTCCTGAACAGCCACTTTTCTACTCTTTGAAAATAACTGCAACAGATGGAGAGAACTACGCGTTGCCAACATCTGTAAACATCACTGTGGTCGGCCAAGGTCTCCCCGTCAAGATGCAGTGTGAGGAAACAGGAGTCTTGAAACAGCTGACAGAAACTATCATACACTCCATTGAGTCTCAGTCTCAAGGCCACGGGCAGGATGATGAAACATCTCTGAACTTGCACCTCGTAAACCATAATGCCCCAAAGTTCAATGACAGCTTTCCACGATCTATTGACATCATAGAGACTGTTCCTGTCAACTCAACTATTGCTGACCTTTCAGCTATTGATCCCGATACTGGTTTTAATGGAAAATTGGTCTATGTGATCTCAGATGGAAACGATGACAGTTGCTTTACCATTGACCTGGAACTGGGTCTTCTTCAAGTCCTTTCTCCTCTAGATCATGAACGAACCAGCTTCTACATTCTTAACATTACTGTGTACGACCTTGGGACACCACAAAAATCATCTTGGAAACTCTTAGCTGTGAATGTCTTGGATACCAATGATAACACTCCTAAATTTCCACAGGGTGCCTACTGGGTGGCGATACCGGAACATGTAGCAACAGGGACAACAATAGCTCAACTGAAAGCAGAAGATGCTGATACAGATGACAATGGGAGAGTAAAATATTCTCTCCTAACCCCCACTGATAAGTTTGCCATTAACAGTGTCACTGGAGATGTGACAGTCACAGGTGCCCTGGATAGAGAATTGTGGCCTAGCTATGTGCTGAAAATAGAAGCTAGGGACCAGCCCAAAACAGGCTACCAGCTGTTCTCCGTGACGGATCTCATCGTGACTCTGGAGGATGTTAATGACAACACTCCACAATGCATCCCAGCCCTCAACAGTGTGAAGGTCCCAGAGGACCTGCCCGTGGGAACCATTCTCCTGTTTCTGGAGGCTTTTGACCCAGACGTTGGCTCTGGGGGTGAGGTGAGGTACAACCTCATTAATGATGAGGAGATGATGTTTCATGTGGATAAGCTGACCGGGGCACTCCGTCTGGAGAAGGAGCTGGACTATGAGAAGAAGGACTCTTACAATCTAACCGTGCAGGTCAGTGACGGTGGGAAGCCCTTCTCTCGCTCTTCCCTCTGCCACCTGGAAGTGAACATCCTTGACGTCAACGAGAACTTGCACCCACCACGTTTTGCCTCCTTTGTCTTCAAAGGCTGGGTACAGGAGAACAGCCCTGAGGGCACATCAGTGATGATGGTCACAGCAAAAGATATTGATAAGGGGAAAGATGGAGAGGTTCAATATTTCCTCCGAGAGGGCACTGGCCTGTCTGTCTTCCACATTGAAAAGGACACAGGTAATGACAGCTTAGTTTAATGGTACCTTAAAAGCTTAAACTGCATGCTGTGCTGTGGTGTTTGGCCTTTTTTGGCCTTTTTGACCAAACAGGACATTTCTATATTCTCTATATTTAACAATTTCCACCCATTCAAATGTTCTTTGCTTGTGCAAGGATGTACAGTGTGTATCTTTGTATCCAGAGAGGACCAAGCAGGGTTTGTCTCCTTAAAATAACAGAAAATCAGTATCTGTCCTCCCCCAAAATACCAAGGTCTTCAATCCCTCACAAGCATTTTCTTTCTTTCTAGGCATTATCCAGACCATAGGACCACTCGACCGAGAAATAACATCGCACTACTGGCTGACAGTGCTAGCTCTTGACCTGGGAACAGTTCCTCTGTCTTCTGTGACTGAAATTTATATTGAAGTCACTGATACCAATGACAACCCACCTCAGATGTCCAGACCCGTCTTCTATGTGTCTGTGATGGAGAATTCCCCACCAAACACATCTGTCCTTCAGCTTGATGCCCTAGATCCAGACTCTAGCTCAGACGGAAAATTGACTTTTCATATCCTAACTGGAAATCCTCAAGGACTTTTCACCATTAACCTCATTACAGGTAAGACTGACCCAACTCAGCATCTGTTTTTGAGGTTTCCAAGTGCCCAGAGGATGTTACATATTCAATATAAACAGCCCACACAGATGCCTTTGTCATACCTTCCTTCTGCAGCAAAAGTCCCAGCCTCCAAATACACTGTGTGGGGAGGCTGAGGGTTGAAACCCTCAACCTGAGGGCTGCTATTTGCATCCAGATGGCTCTTAGAATGGCACAAACGTGCTGCTTTCAAAGCCCTGAACAGAACCAGGCAGTCGCTTTTAATCTTCCGCCTCGTAAACAACTGCCCTATTGCACAGCCTGAGCCAGGAAACACCCTTCTGGAGGTGACTATCTGTTCTTGAGACAGACCAAGGCAGGATTAATAAAAATGAATCCCACTGCACTTAAAGGCTCCACCCGTTCCCCGGCACTATTAATGTAGTAAGCGTAGTAAAGCCGCTTCTGCCATCTTCCTAGACCGTATCTTTCATCTGAGGATTAATTACCAGATCTTTCAGAGCCATCAAAAACCCGTTGATGTTTTGTGTAAACAGCTTCCTCAAACTATCCCAGCAGAGCTGACATTGGGCCAGTCTGGCAAGGAAAGCTGTGCCGAGCCCTTCGCTCCATCAGCTCCCGGGAGAAGCGGGAAGGGAGGGCACAGAGCCTGAGTATGGGAGAGGATTAATTGCATGACTTTGATCTCCTGCGGATGATAAAAGCAGTTCACCTACTGCAGCAGGATAGAAGCCTGCTCTCAGATGAGAAAGGAGCTGGATATATTGAAAAAGGCTTGTGCAGCTCTCAGCTCTGTGTTACCTGTGGTGTAATGGCTCTCTGGCAGTCCTCTACAGCTGGCTGGGAGGGGGTTGTTTGGAAAGAAATTGTTACGCTGACACACTGAAATCCTTCTGGTTGCAAGAGGTTCATAGGGCGTCTCTACTTGGCACCAGATAGATACCTACCTGGAGATGTCAGCCAACTCTGACCACTTCTACCCCAAGTTGTAGCTATCTCCACCATCAGGAGCTTTTTAGCCTGGTCAGGGCATTGCTCTGCACCCAGCATTCCCACATAGTCCAAATGGGTCAATTCACAAGTCAGCCCCATGGACAGCTTGCATAAACTCTTGGCTCCATGGAAAGGTGCCTTCAGAGCCCTTACTTGAGAAGGCCACAGCCTTTTCAATGGAATGTGGACCAGAAATGGTTATCCTCCCACCACGCTAGCTCCCCTCAAGTGCTGAGCTCGAGCTTGGACCTGTGCACCCTGCAAGAAATTCAGCCTTCTCTATGCTGCAGGCAAAACTTTGACCACAGTTGAGTGCAACCCCACAAAGCCATGCTCCAAAGCTGTCATGTTTTACAGTAAAATAAGTGACACTGGCAAAACCTGGACGTTTGCTAATGAGCCACCTCACCTCTGAGCTAACCCTTCAGTTCCCATCTTAGACAAAAGCACTCTCTCTGGTGTGAGTCATCTCCCATCCATCTCTCTCTACAGTCAGGTAAATTGCATGTGAAGAGTGATAAGTTTGTCAGTCCTGTAAGAAACTCATGAGCTGATCTTATCTCTTGTTCAGTTGCTGGAGGTCTCTTCTTTAAACCCTGAGCTTGGAGGCTGTTTAAGGACCTGCTTCCAAGCCTGATAAGGATTCAGTTATCTGCCGGTTTACTTCCATGTCACCCAAAAGAAAAATAATTACTTGCAAACACTGGCATGAACTGAGCAGTTTATATCCTCATGCTTACAGTACCAAAAGAGAAGTCATCTGCCACTACTGCCAGAAAGAATATCACACCTTGTCTAAATTTCAGGGCTGTAGGCAGCTTATGGGAAACCCTGTGATGGTTTTATTCTGCAGACACTGACATGCTCATTGATCCATTAAGCAGAATAAAAGCAATCTTTGGTCACAGCTTCCCAGTGCAGCACTTGAAAACAAACTGCTGGTCTTTCAGATCCTGGTCATTCACATCAATGCAGAGTTGTGTCCCAAAAAAGGGTTAGCCAAATGCAGTTCAGATCAGATGACTTCCATTTGAAGAGGAGAAGAGAGAAAACACTGCTAGTATCTGAGCACTGTAGTGCTCCTAAACCCCTGAGGCTTACTCTGGATTTTTACCTAGGACATTTCCTTTGGTTTTCAAATGCAGTAAATGCATCTCTTCTAGCTAGAGGAAACAATCACAAAAACACCCAGAAACATTTCAGTTCTTGAAATGCCAGAGATCTATATGATCCAGACTGCCAGGACTCATCCCGTGGTCAATCCCAAATCCGATGACAGCAAAATTTTGAGTAGGCAGAGCTGCTTATCTGTGATGAAGCTGGATCTCTGTCACCTTGTTCAATTATAAACATTGAAGTTTCAAGGGGGCACCACAGAGGCTGCTGCTCTTAAGTCACACAACTGGAGCAAAGGACAGGACAATCTGCACGTGTCAGGAGTTCCTCCAGCACTTGGATCAGAAGTGAGGTTCCTACATGTGGAGAAGACTGTGATCAAAACCTCTCCTAGCCCACACTGTCATCAAAGGCAAAGCACAAGAAGCTCAGAGCTCAGCCTGGATCTGTCCTAGGAATGGCACTTCTGGTAGGAGCCCCTTAGTAGAAGAAGTGGAGGAGGAGGTTTGTTCTCATCCTGTCCACTAATAGAAAATAAGGTCCTGATTTACTGTCACAACAGGCAGGTTTACACCCAGAATAACACTGGATAATTATTCATGGCACAGTGCCACACTTGCAATTAACCTATTTCTGACCCTAGAGCAGGAGTTTGATCCAGTATCTTGACACAAGGGTGGGTTGGCCAGTGGAGACACACCCCTTGACCTCTGCTGAAGCCCTGCAGGGAGACAGGAGCGGCTGTGGTAACTGTCCCTCAGCAGGGCTTGGCTCCTTGAGCACCCCTGAACTACCACAGAAGGGCTTTAAGCTCTTCCAGCTCTCAGTTCTCTAAAGAGGGTGGAGAAAAAGAGGGAAAATAAATGAAAGGCTAATGAGGAGACTAAAACTATGGAGTGAGATGAAAGCTTTCTGCCATCGGCAATGGAATCTCTCCAGCCCAGCCTGGCAGCTGGTGCAGAGCAGTGTTTGTGGGAGACAGAGATAGACAGATACATGGGGAGACAGTAGGGTTTGGGGTATTCTTTTGCTGGAGAGGTTTACAGCTTGTTTTGTGCAGGGTTTGCAGTCTCTGATGTGAATGGGGTTCCAGTCCAGACAGGACTGAGAGGAATTGGGAGGCTGTGGCAGGGAATCAAGAGGAAGCATTCATACTGCTGCACAGTTTTTCTGCTGAAAGGCTGTTTGGAGTATTCTTTTACCTTGCACTGTTCAACTCTAGCTCTTATCTAGTGCTTGTGCTTCTGTTGTGTCAGTGACCATGGGTTTCCCCAGGATGCCTGTGAGTCCCTCCATTTCTCTGCACAGAAGGACATCCAGAGCCAGCCTGCTCTTTAAATCTGAGGGATGGCTGCAGTGCTGCTCCCTGAGCCAACGTGCCACAGGCTCGAGCTGAGCATGGAGTAGTGCAGAGCAGGGTCAGAACAAGAAGGGAGGTACAAGGAGGAGAAGAAGAGAGAAGAGAAGGTGCTATGGAAGCACCAGTGAGACAACAGAAAAAAGACTTTGGGAGAACAACCTCTTCCCTTCTCAGGCACTTGTGAAAGCCCCAATGCCTGCAAACCTGATTCTGGCTATTTTAACTATCTTAGATTTTCCTCCCTGCAGCGAGGGCAGGGGCCCAGCAACCTCCACCCCAACCCTGCTCTTGCCAGCAGAAGTAATTATTATTTTTTGCTCCCTGACAACAATGTGCCATTAATTTTGCCGCTCCTGTTCCGACACGACCAGGTTTCTTCTCTCCCCTTTCCAGGCAGGAGAACAGCAGACAATCCTTTCCCATTACTGCGTGTAGATGGGCTGCAAGAGCAGAGCTTGTGCCTGCCTGGGTGCAGGCACCAGAAGGGATTATTTCAGGACCTTCAGATGAATGCAGAGCTTGGTTAACTGGCCAAGTGCAATTGGGACACCTGACAGTTTCATTCAGCCTCTCTAGGACTCAGTAGAAACCATCAGGGTCCCATACGAGAACACATATAAAGGACACCCACTCCATTGCAGGTTCTGTGGGACAGGCTGGATGGTGTTTTCCAGCCAGGCAGGGTCTGCACTGATAACTCACACACGTGCACACACAGAACACACTCCTTAAAAACTAAATGCATGCTTCCCAGTCCTTGTAGGGGACAGCAGAAAGAACCAAGGAACTGTTTCCCCAGGCCACAAAAGCTGACGGCAGTTCCCCTTTAATAACAGTTTCCACTTCCATTTTAGCCCTCTGGCTTCACAGGGTGTATAACCAAGTAGCAACAAATAAAAATATGCATTAATTCTAGCTGGCTTCTCCTGAGCACCACGTCCAATGCCCGTCTCCCTGTCTCTAGGTGCTCAGCTGCCATGTGAACACTGCTGGCAGTTAATGCACCTTGGCAGCCACACAGCACCACGGCTCCATACAGGCATGAGCACGATGAACTGCTAACCACAAGAGCTTTCTGATCGCAAGGCAGAGTGGTAACTGGCTCTGGAGAGGGGAACTAGGAGCTACAATTTGGCCCAGGGTCAGGGATAGAGGGATCTTCCCTGGGATCAGGAGGAGAAGCCAGCCCTTTGACTTGTGGCTCAACAGATTTGAAGCTAAACTCAAAAATGCCATCTGGTAAGACTCTCAGCTAGGGTACAGTGGAGGTCTGTAGTAGAGAATCAAGGCAGCTCTTACTCCCCAAAAGATCTGAGCATCTTCAGTGGTACAGACATTCAAGATAGTCATTCAGGTGCAGTTTATCTCCCTTCACTACAGTCCTTCTCCAGCTCTAGAAAGCTCAGCTACAATCTTGTTTTCTTTCCTTTTTATCATTAGGTCATGAAAGAATTTCAGGGTGTGGCCAGGCAAATCCAAATAATCACTTCAGAGTGGTTTAAGTTGCCTTCCATCAGCTGGCATGGAGTAACCAAGTGCAAACAAGGGGTTCATCTGTTCCAACTGAATTTTGTAATCCAATAGACCAGAAATATCCCCAGCGTGCACAGAGGTATTGGTTGTTGTTGTCAGTATGTGTCCTATGGGCTTGTTAGGCCAAAATTATGATCCATCCCTTGGAGTTTTAGGCTTTGCCCTCCTGTCCTATCCAGCCCATTGTCAATGTGGACAGGAGCATCAGAGATCTCAGTAAAGCTCTGCTGCAATTCCTTCCTCAGGCCCTCATTAAGTGATCATTTCCATCTCTATCAAGAGTTTTGCTGCTATTGGAGCCCTAGAGCCTCCCATGAGCCTGAGACATATTCAAAAGCTCCTCAGCCAGTGTGCTTTCAAGGCCACACTGCTGAGTCCTCACCTACCAAGATGACAAAAGGAAGCTTAGAGAGAAAAAAAAATCATATCCATGACAAACACAGAGTCTTTCAAATCATCTTGTCATAACACATTAAGGAATCTTGATTTATGATTGTAAAGACATCAAATAAATGTTTAGTGTGGTGGCTGGTGCCAAATATGAATAATTCCAGAGAACAAGTGGAAACAGTTAAGGACAGTCTTGTTCCCAGCAGCTGCTCCTCACTCCCTCCATCACCTGCCCAGCATTTCCTGAAGCCATTTCAAATTTTTTAGTGCCTATCACGTTCAGACAGCAATACACCAAAGCATGATACAACTGAAAACAATACTAACAATTAAAACTTCTTGGCTTTGGACCAGAAATGAGAGTTGAGATGGGTTCAGGCCACTCTCATTTACAAGTCTTTCAGGATGCATGAGTGCACGTGTGCTCACGTGCTGCTGCAGTCACACACTGCCTCCCGTGCAAAGCATTTCCCAGAGCAGCGTGAGCCTCTGCCACGGTCTGTGGGGGTCAGGAAAATTCACCCTGCCTTTTGTTTGTGTGAGGAAGCAGGACTTCCCTCCACAAGGAACAAACACCGTGATAACAGCCACCACTGGGAGCAGGAGATGCAGGGAATGGACAAAACCAGTCATAGGTGTTGGACTTGCTGGCTGCCAGAAAATCATGCATTATATATATACAATTTTCATCATCTGCAGAGCAGTTGTGGAAATAGTCTAGGGCTGTTTTTCCCCAAAGGTAAAGAGCCAAGGCACCTGATAAGGACTATTATCAAACCAGGCATGGAAATACAAACCTCAACTCTATCCTTTCCACACTTACATCTACTCAGCTTAGTCAATGACAGGCCAAAAAGAGGCAATTATGATTTTCTTTAGACACTAGTTTGTTATAGCCACAATTCCTCCCTCCTGCATCCAGCCTATTCCCTGTGGTTAAACTAGTGTGTGTTTTTTTTTTTTAAATCACTCAAATCTTGCAATTTTTAGAGGATTCACCTTGACTCTCAGCAAGGCTTAAATAATATACCAACATTATCATCAACTGTGTATCTTATTTTTAGCCTAAATGCATTTGTTCCAGTGGTAAATAGAGGGTATTTCCTGAGACAGAAGACAAACTTTTGTCAAAACACTGCAAATTACAAAGAGCAAAGTTCAGCACAGGGAAAATAGGAGTTGAGACTTGTTAAGAGGCCAAACATGTGCCAATGCATGCAGAACGTTTCTTACTTAGAGGCATAAGAAAAGTTTTGTTTTCCCTGTCCTGGGGCCTTTCTCACCAAATGCCTTGACAACACTCAGCCAATGTAGGCATCTAGTAGGTGTCCCCCCTCCTCTGTGGTCTCTGCAATCAGAGGAGCAAGGGCAGCACCTTGGCACAAGAATCCACATTGGAAGTGGACAACCTGCCCTCTGCAGGTATCTTTCTTTATCCTCTGATCACAAATGGGACATGAAAGAGGCCAGGTGGAAAGGCTGGTATGGGGCACGCAGGGATCTGATCAGCCTTGGCTTTCCTTGGACGCTGAGCCTTGGAGCTCAAAGGGTTTCTTTCTTGGCAGGTCTGATTTCTACAACTTCACAGCAGCTGGATCGAGAATACAAGGCTGAACATATCCTAGAGGTGGGTAATGATGATTGTAATTAGCTTTATTTACCTACAAGTGTATTAAGTCCTCAAAGAGCTTTCCTTGCAAGTTAGAGCACAGAGAAAGAATCTCATCCCATCAGCTCCCAACTGCTGGGAAACTTAATTAAATGGTGTGCGTTGCCCTAAGAGACAGCTGCAGCAGGACTGTGGGGTTTATGGTTTCCTCAGCGAAATCTGGAGCAAAAGGCCTGTTCTGGAAGCTGTGGGAATGCAGGAAGAGGACTGGAATTATCCTCTAGCAGAAAGAGTAAGCCAGAGAAATCCACCCTTATTTATCTCATTGTATCAGGCATTAGCGGGTAGCTTTGTGTTACCAGCACCCATCCTTCATGCTCCAAGCTATGTGTATTTACAGTGGAGAGATCTCGAGGTGTTTCAGTCTATCAGGACGATTGAGGATGACACCTCACTGCAATGCAACATTCTAGGAGCGTGTACAGGCACAGCAAAGTGAGGGTGGATGATAACTTGCCAAGCCATTGCAGTACAAACATTTTCAGTTGTGTGATCCCCTCATGACCAATCTGACCCACTGCCCAGAGCAGCTGAAGGCATGAACCCTGCAGACACATCTCTTTGTGCATGCTCAAGCCTTGCACAGTGCCAGCTACAGCCACCAGATTTTACCCTGCAGAGAAAATTAATGCCTCTGAAAACACTGAGATAAAAATGGAGAGCCACAGAAACCCCCCCGTTTAGTCACTGCACATCAGGATGAGGGCTGGTTGCTCACATCCTAGGTCACAACAACGAGCTCTGTCACCTAATCCCTTTGCTTGCTGGCAGGTGGCTGTTTCTGACAATGGAGAGCCAGCCCTGAAGTCCACCAGCAGAGTTGTGATACAAGTCCTGGATGCCAATGACAACCCTCCCAGCTTCCCACACAAGCTCTTCGTGGTGCAGCTTCCCGAAAGAGATGCCTCAGAGACACCACTGCCAGTCTACAGGCTCATCGCTTCAGACCGTGACCAGGGCCAGAACAGCCAGATCACCTACACCATCGAGGAGGAGGAGGAAGGGATATTCACCATCAACCCCACAACCGGCATGGTGTTCTCTAGGAAAGCTTTTCCTGCCTCTGAATACAACATACTCACGGTGAGAGGAGAGGGAAACAGGGAGCACCAGTGGGAAGGAATGGGTGGAGAGGGGAAGAGAGGAAAGGCTGGAGAAACAGAAAATGATAGAAGAAAGAAATGGAGAAAATGCAGCTGTGGGAGGAGAGCCTGAATGAGACAGACATAGGTTACAGGCAGAGAAACTGAGGGGAAATTATGGGAAATGTGGAAGGTAAAAAGCTATCGAAAACAGAGGCTAAATTAAAATTATCTGGTCAACCCACTCTCAGAGATGAACACAGTGATCCATGATCCCATAGGAATGCAGACCCAAACCTGAGCAGTCTTTGGGTTTCAGTGGTGCCTCCATTTGGCAGTCTGATCAGGCCATGAGGCTTGGATATAGGTTTAAGACTCTCCCACACTGTGGGTCCTTGCAACGAGGCTTGTGATCCAAGTCTCTGCTGTGGATTGAGCTTGGCAGATACAGCTGAGATGAACTCTGGCTGCATGGCTCTACCTCGGAAGCAGCCAGAGCATGAGTCTTTGGGTCAAGATTCATTTGGTGGGATTTTGGGTGTACTGGGACCTGACACTCCTGGTAGGTGGGAGAAGCAGCTTTCAGTGGGGGTCCCATGGGCTAAACCCTGACTGCACGTGCTTTTCCCTGCAGGTGAAGGCAACTGACGGCGGCAGCCCACCGCTCTCCTCCCACGTGCGGCTCCACATCGGCTGGGTCTCCCGGCCAGGCCCCTCCTCGGAGCCCCTCGCTTTCGATGAACCCCATTATAACTTTGCCGTGATGGAAACGGATCCTGTAAACCACATGGTGGGAGTGATCAGCATCGAAACGGGCCCCAGCCAAGTGTGGTTTAATATCACAGGTGAGAGACAGCAATTAACGCGGGGCAGCGGTGTCTGGGAGCTTTGCCCCGGCTCCCTTGGCTCCCAGCGCTCGCCCGCCTCAGCTAATGAAGTTGTTTGCTTTAGGTGTAGGTGAGCTACAGGCAAAGCTTTCTCACAGACACCAACAGGCTTAAACAACCATACACAAAGCTGCCCGTCCGAGGGCTCTGGTGCCAAGTGCAATTATCTAAAACGCTTTTTTTAATGACACTCTAGGACTTGCCAGCATTTGAGGAGTTCTCCGATGTCACATGAAAGGCAGGGCATGCCAGTCCCAGCTCCTCCTGGGAATCAAGTGATGCTGTTGGCTGTGGTAAAACAGCCTGCAAGGATACAGGTGTCTGGGTGGGTCTTGCAGACACCCCTTTCCCCCCCACACAACTCTCCCTCCCTGCTGAGCCCATGGTCTCACCAGGAAGCCAAGAGGGAAGGACTCCTCAAAGAGCTGATCTGACCTAACTGGTGGGGATCTCCCACCTCATGACATCCCAGAGATGACTTGGACATGAAGCGTGAAGAAGCTCTAGAGCCTCCTTTAAGACACGTGGTGCTAGGGCAGAGGGGACGTGGGCTGCCAGCCCAGGGGACTTGCCAGGCAGTGCGTGTGCAGAACTGGTCCTATGGAGGAGGGCCAATTGTGCTCATGTAATCTGGTGTTTTGAAGTGGTGCCCCAATCTACCCTGCACAGCCTTTCCCTGGCACTGCCTGCAGGGCTTGCCAGCCTCAGACAAAGCCTTAACTGAGTGAACAGCTTTCCCTGTTACTCTGTTAGGGCAGGGATAATGGCATATAAATACAATCAAGCAACACAAGATACAACACTACGAGGAGCAGACAATATCAGTGCAAGGCTTATCTGGCAGTAGCAGCATCTGCTTGAGTTTGCAGAATTAATGGTGTATTCCTCTAGTGCCATCCCATTGTTTCCCTGCTGGGTGCTTTCCTGAACACCCAACCTCAGCTTCTCCATCTCCCAGTGCACCAAGTGCTGCTCAGGGCTCTCTTGGTTTCTTTGATGGTGGAAGAGGACAGGATTTAATTTTTTTCCACCAAGCAGGTGATGCAGTGGTCCAGGAGCCTTCAATACAGCATTTCAAAGTGTGCCTTTCCCAGTCCACAAAGGCTCTGTCACTGGGGTGGACGGTGTCTGCAAAAACTCTGACAAAGCCCCATTGTTCTTCATTTCTTTCCTTTCCTGGGCTTCCTCTTTCTATTCGGCACCATCAAAGTGAGCCCTTCTGTCTTCTCCTGTGGAAAGTCATCCATGGCCCTCTCTTTTCCTCTGTCCCTGCTTCTTTCTATCTCCTTCCCAGCAGGAAAGTGGTGGTCCAGATGGCTGGCCACCACTGCATTTCTCCCACAAGGGAAGATGTCTAATTTAACAACCAGCCAAGATTTTCCCAGCTGGTGAGAGAATAAAGTAGAATCCAGAGCATCCAGTAGCCAGGAAGGGAGAAGTTGAGACCTGAGATAAATCACAGAAAACTACTTCTGCCTCTTTGTACCTCAGAACAGCGTGGTGGTGTTTCACATGCAGTAGAGAACTAGCAGGCCACCAGCAAGTGAGGCATGAAGAAGGAGCTTCCACGCCAGGGCTGCACAGCAGTAGCATGAGGGACAGCCTTCTGCTGCTGAGCTGCTCAGGCCTGTGGTTCCCTGCACTATGCAACCATCTGGGTTGGAGGCAACAGGCTCTGCTCACCCTGGAAGCACCTTCTGCCTCCCCAACTGTTCAATATGGGGCTTCTTCTGGTAGCTCACAGGCTTCCAGCCACGGCAATGAAGACCATCACTGATATGCCCACAGCATGACCTTGATTTGGAAGCCAGCAAGTGTGTTGCTCAGCCCTGCAGTTCCCTGATCCATGCTAAGACTGTGACGCTGCATAGCTGGAGATCTTGTGCAAATAAATCAATGTTCAAATGTGCCTGTTGCAAATCTGGCCAGGATATCATATGCCTGTGTGCATCCTTTCCCCTTCTGTCCTCCTCTTCATCTTCCCCAGTTCCCCTCGCCTTCCCTTTCCTACTCCTTTGTCACCATATGTGACTACCTCCTTGTCCAGCTTCTCTGTGTCCTCCCTGCGCCCTGTGGCTACCTATGACATTGTGTATTGAGTTTCCAGATCTGGGAGAAACCTCATCTCTCAGGGCACTGTCCCCAGTCTAGCTGTGGCCAGAGGTGCAGCTGGAGTGAATGCCTACACACCCCTGTTCAAGGTGTATTGCCTGGCATGCTGCAGATCTGTGGCCAGCCACGAGCTCTTTGTGTGTTTTGTGTATGGTGTTGGCAGGGGAGATCCTCATCCTTTGGATCTCCAGGTATCTCCTAGAATCCCTTCCCCTGCAGATGCTGCCAGCCCTTGCAGATTGCTCTAGACAGAAATCTAACTGTGGCTGCCTCCCATTTCCTTTCCTCATCCATCCCTTACCCCAGGTGGTGACGATGACATGGATTTTGACATTGAAAAGAGTACAGGCAGCGTGGTCATTGCAAGACCCCTTGATGCACGGAAGAAGTCAAGCTATAACCTGACAGTAGAAGTCACCGATGGGTCCACTACCATCAAAACCCAGGTAAAGTTTTGCCAAAGGGTATTCTTCTTTTTACTCCACTGAGCTCTGGATCAGGTACTAGGCATAAGAATCTCCTTATGCTGTGATCTTAACATTAAAAAAAATCTTAGTTGTGTAATGTGTTAGAAACAAGTGGTCTAGGAAAGCATGTGGATCACAGCCAGCACACTAGGACACATCTACACCACCACCAGCCAAGCCAGGGTGGTAGCTCACACTCACAGACCTCAACCTGCTCTCAGCTGCTCATGGCTGGGACAACATGCTAAGGTGTAAGGGAAATACATATGCAATTAGATCAGACTTGGGACCACGGTACCATGGCAAGGTGTGCTCCTGGGACTTGCTAGCCTATGTAAAGCCAGCACAGACATCTGCAAGAGGTGAGGCCCTGCCCTGTGCTGCTCCAAGTGTGTAGAACATTGACAACATAACAGTACTGATGCCCAGGAGGCAAACGGGGCAACTGCAGAGATGCTGTGTCCTCTGAGTGTCCTCACAGTGCTGGTGAGAGGAGGCACTTTGCCCTCAGGCATGTCCCAAACCCCCAGTTAAAATAGCTTCTGAGATTTGCCCATCTTTTCCTACCCTCAGGAGGGGGATTCAGGGCTTGATATTTCACCAGCTCTTTTCTCCACACATAAGCAGCAGCCAAAAATCCAGCCCTGATTGCACAGGAAGACCTAGAATGTGAGTCACCCATCAGTGACGCTTATCGTGGGAAATGCACCGCAGAGGGCTGTGGGGGATGATGAGTGAGGAACCCTACCATGCCTGTGAAACCCACTGTCAACTGGCTTCAAGCACTGTTCCAAATAAACAAAGCCCCACCTCGCCTGGTGTGCGTTCCCTGCCACCTTGCATCTCATCCCTGCGTTTATTTTGGCACTCAAGGCTGCTAGCAGATGTCAGAAAACCTGCTTGTGCAAAGCACCCATGGCATGTTGGGGTTTGCTAAAGGAAGCAAATTATTACACTCGATTGGGACTTCCTAAGATGCAGTGAACACATCAGTAGGGGGGTGAGGACAATCAGGACAGGAGACTAGCCACAAACCTACAGCAGACCAAACCTACAGCAACAGAAACCAGGTGACTTTGCAGGCAGGCCATTCACAGGGGCTTGGTGTTAAATGCAGAGGGGAAGATCTGGCTAAACACTGTAGACCACAAACTTTGCTTCTGCATGCCTTCTCCACACACGTGCTGCTCCTGAGAGAGGCCAGCCCTTCTCTTCCTTGACCAAACATCCCCCCATAAGCTTTCTGCTGTGTAATTAGGAGGCACCAGGCAGTGAAGCTGGCACCATGGCAGGCTGTGTCTGTCCCTCCACGTGCCAAGTGCAGGCCCACTCAGTCAGCGTGGTTTGCCAAATCGGAGAGAATAAAATACAATGAGAGGAAGCAAACTGAAAATTGCTGAGGGAAGGCACAGCAGGAGTCCCTTTGGAGAAGGACAAAAGGGCTCCCAGTCACCATGGACGACAAAGTCCTAAGAGCTGTAAAGCTGTGACAGATACAAGGCTTAAAACCCAGCTACACGCCAGAGGGCTTGGTAGCCTAGGTTCTACATAAGTCAGGTTCCTCCTAAGTATCTGCTGCCCTCACTGTGCTGTCTCCCTCACAGGCATTTATCCATGTGATTGACATTAACCAGCACCGTCCTGAGTTCCTGGAGAGCCATTATGAAAGGAGGATTCCTGAAGACACCCCCCCAGGGAGAGAAATCCTTCAAGTCAGTGCAACAGACAAGGACAAAGGCAAGGGGCTCATCTACACCATCCATGGCAGCATGGACCCCAAAAGTACAAGACTTTTCCAGTTGGATCCAAGCAGTGGGGTCCTCACTGCAGCAGAAGGCTTCAGTTCCCAGCCCATGCCTCAGCATATCCTAACAGTCATGGTGAGTCCTTAGCTTTGGCTACGTCCATCTGAGTCCATCAGCTTGGTCAGGATATACAGGAGGATGGAGAAATTAAAACTGGTTCTAGTCTCTGAGGGAGGATTTGTCTAGAACAACAGGGAAGAGGAAAGCAGGGTGTTAACCTTTACTATACAACCATCCTGGATAACCCATCACCTGCTAAATTCATTGGAGGGCCACTGGATTCTCACACAAGAAAACACAGTAAATAATTTGTAATGTTTGGTTTCAAGTTCAAGGCTGAGCTTTGGTGCTGGAACATACAGGCTCATTCCCACCCAAGGGGTTGTGCCACTGAAAAACGCCACCCTCTGTGAGAGTCCTGATGAGCTCCTTAGCAGGCTGGTACAGGCAAGGCTGCCTGCCCCCCAAATGTGATCATACCTGCTCTTCCTCTGTCATTCAGGTACGAGACCAGGAGGTCCCCATCAAGAGGAACTTTGTTCGAGTCACTATCCGTGTAGACAACTGCAACCTTCACCCTCCACAGTTCAGCAGCATCCATTATGAAGCAGAAGTGCTGGACTTAGCAGCAGTAGGCACAGAGGTTTTACAAGTCAGAGCCCTTGATCAGGACCAAGGGACCAATGCTGAAGTCCGCTACTCCCTTCAGACAGGTAAGAGCCATGTAATAAGACAGTTGAGGCTATGAACATGCCCACATTTCCATGTTCTCACCCGTGGCCAGACAGCTGGCCAAATTTCTCTAGCTGTTGCAAAGAACACTAAATAGCTGTACAGTTCTTAAATGCAGTTTCCCTCTATCCAGAGAAAATGTAGAGTAAGCAGGTAATTTCCATATTTTGGAATGTTAGCATCCTTCCTTAAGAAGACAGTTCAATGTTGGTCTAAGGAAAAAAAAATGTGACTGGATGAGTTAGAAGAGCTTTAAGCCTGCTCTTCTTATCCATGGGAACTGATGAAGAGGTCCCTGTTCAGTTTTTAGACAAAATTTCTCCAAGTCCCACAAGTCATCTTCACTTCTACCATTTCTACAAAGAAATAAATCCTTGAGGAATGGTGAGAGCTCTCTTGGCTTTAGTTGATGGTAGGTTTAGGTCATACAAGCTCAGTGGGCAACTATCTTATCATTCACTTGGTGTGCCACATTGCTTGCTTAGCAGGTAAATTCTTTGCAGAGGCAAGCCATCCTTTGCTCCATCTTTCTCATTGCAATTTAGATCAAGGACTGAGGAACTTAATTGCTCCTGAAGTATTGGCAATTATAAGCATGACAGGGCTTGAAGGAACTAGTAGTGTCTGTGTTACCATGTTCTGCACATGAGGCAAAAGCTTCAAGCACATGCTCTGCCACCACTAAATATGCTCAAATTAGAAGGGTATTTATCTGTAATTTACATTTCAATTGATTTAAAAGTTAGCTCACAGATCTCAATGGTTTCATTGTTCTTAGAATGAAAATTATTTAGAAATTAAGGAAGACTGCTGTCTCCCCGTGAAAGAAGCAAATGTTAATTAGGCATGAAATCAGGAGCATCGGTGGAAAAGAGGTTCAGAAAACCAAAACCAACAGGGTGTCTGCATTCCTCACTTTGCAATTTCTTTTCTTGCAGGTAATGGGGAAGGTTTCTTTAGCATCGACCCATATTCTGGAATTATTACTGTTGCCCAGAAACTGGATCCATCCAGGCAGGAGCGATTTACTCTTATTGTAAAGGCAGAAGATCAGGCGTTCCCTCAGTTTAAAGATTCTGCCACGGTCCACATCCGCATTAGACCCTCTGATCGAACCCCTCCAAAATTTGCAGAGGCTGAATACATCACAGAGATCAGTGAATCCACCACTGTTGGCTCTCCTCTGATCCAGGTTTCCGCCACAAGCTTGTCACCAGTCAGCTATGAAATAAAAGATGGAAATGGAGATGGAGTGTTCTCCATGAACTATCAGTCAGGCCTTATCTCCACTCAGAAGAGCTTAGATTTTGAGCAAGTGTCTTTTTACCAGTTGAAAGTCCGTGGCACCAACATGGCTGGGGCATTTATGGACACAATGGTACTTATCTATGTCATAGATGAGAATGACAATGTGCCCATCTTCACTAAGCCTTCCTTCATTGGCTGGATCATGGAGAATGCACCATCACAAAGCATGGTCCTGGATGAAAACAATGCTCCCCTCGTGACCCACGCAACAGATGCTGATCAAGACTCCAATGCTCTGCTGGTCTATGAGATTTTGGAGCCGGAGGCACTGAAATATTTCACAGTAGATCCCAGCACAGGGACATTGACCAGTCGTGCTGACATAGACTATGAGCTCACCCCAGTTTTCCACTTCAGTGTACATGTGCGTGACAGTGGCACTCCCAGCTTATTTGCATCCAAGCCAGCCAAGGTCACAATCCACGTTAAAGATGTGAATGATTCACCTCCTGTCTTTTTCAAAGACACTTATGAGCTTTCTGTCTTGCTACCTGCCCACCCAGGGATGGAGCTTTTATCAGTGCAGGCAAAAGATGCAGATTCGGAGGTCGCCTACAGCATAGTGGAAGGGAATATTGACAATGCTTTCTATATTCATCCAATCACAGGTCTCATCTCCATTCTTAATGCCACGGGCCTGAGAAGCTATCGTGAACTCATGGTCAGAGCTGATGATGGCTTATACAAGAGTACTGCTCTGGTTAAACTGAATTTAACTCGCACACAAGGTACAGGCTTAAAATTTGATCAAGACGTATATACAGCAACTGTGATGGAGAACTCTACAGATGAGAAGACTCTCACTGTTCTTGGAGTCAAGGGATATCAGCTAAATGAACCACTTTTCTATTCACTTTTGAATGGAAAGGAAAGATTCAAAATGATCCAGGCATCTGGAGTACTCCAGACCAAGGGTGTGAAATTTGACCGCGAAGCACAAGATGTGCACGAGGTAGCTGTGGAAGTGAAGGACAACAGGAAGCCACCAAGAGTGTCCCAAGCCACAGTCAAGGTTTACGTAGAGGATGTCAATGACAATCCACCACAGTTTGAGAACGTGCCGTATTACACCTCAGTGCAGGACGGCACTGAACCAGGTGATGTACTTTTTCAGGTGTCAGCAACAGACAAAGACATAGGCGAAAACGGAGCCATTACCTACTCATTTGCAGAGGACTACAAATACTTTAGGATTGACCCCTACCTAGGGGACATCTCACTGAAAAAGCCTCTCGATTATCAAGCTTTAAATAAATACAACCTCCGAGTCATCGCTAAGGACAAAGGCCAACCTCCCCTCCGTGCTGAAGAGGAGGTTGTGGTCAGCGTGAGGAACAAATCCAACCCTCTGTTCCAGAGTTTGTACTACCGAGTGAAGGTGCCAGAAAACATCCCTCTCTACACATCTATCCTCCACATCCAGGCTCGCAGCCCTGAAGGCTTGCGCCTCATCTACAACATCGTGGAGGAAGACTCCCTGAAACTCTTCAGCACCGACTTCAAAACTGGCGTCCTTACTGTCACAGGGCAGCTGGACTACGAGCTGGAGACAAAACACATGTTCACCGTTAGAGCCACAGACACAGCGCTAGGATCCTTTTCAGAAGCCAGAGTAGAGGTGGACGTAGAGGATGTCAATGACAACCCCCCCATATTTTCTCAGGTCATCTACACAGCATCAGTCTCGGAGAGTTTGCCAGCACAGACTCCCGTTGTCCAGCTCTTTGCTTCTGATAAGGACTCAGGCAGAAACAAAGTGGTCTCCTATCAGATCTTGGATGATGGCTCCGATGCTGCCAAGTTCTTTAATATCGATGCCAGCACAGGGCAAATAACAACAGCTCAAGCACTGGATTATGAAAAAAATCAGCAGTTTCGCATGAAAGTAAGAGCTGCAGACCATGGGATACCTCCACTTAGCAGTGATGCCCTGGTAATTGTAGATGTGACAGACATCAATGACAATCCTCCCGAGTTCAGCCAGCTTCAGTACGAAGCCAAGGTAAGCGAAATGGCTACTTGTGGGCACATCGTGATCAAAGTCCAGGCCCTGGACCCCGACAGTGGAGACACCACCCGACTGGAATACGTGATACTCTCAGGCAATGACAATAGGCATTTCACTATCAACAGCACTTCTGGAATAATATCCATGTTCAACCGCTGCAAAAAGGACTTGGAGTCATCTTACAATCTCAGGGTTTCTGCTTCAGATGGAGTTTTCAAGAGCACTGTGCCCGTGTATATCAATACCACTAATGCCAACAAATACAGCCCCTCTTTTCAGCAGAATGTGTATGAGGCAGAGCTGGCAGAAAATGCTGAGATAGGTACCAAAGTGATTGAGTTGCTGGCTATTGACCCAGATGGTGGCCCATATGGCACCATAGATTATACCATCATAAACAAGCTCGCCCATGAGAAGTTCTCCATAGACAGTAAAGGCCATATTGCCACACTGCAAAAACTGGACAGAGAAAATTCAACAGAGAGGGTCATTGCCATTAAAGTCATGGCCAAGGATGGAGGTGGGAAGGTGGCATTCTGTACGGTCAAAATAATCCTTACAGATGAGAATGACAACCCACCTCAGTTCAAAGCCTCCGAGTACACACTGTCCATCCAGTCCAATGTAAGCAAAGGCTCCCCTGTTATCCAGGTACTGGCTTATGATGCTGATGAAGGTGCAAATGCAGATGTCATTTACTCTGTTGACTCCGTGGAAGATATAACAGAAGACCTTGTGGAAATCAATGCTGCCACTGGGGTTGTTAAGGTCAAGGAGAGCCTTGTTGGTTTAGAAAACAGAGCCTTTAACTTCAAGGTGAAAGCTGAAGATGGCAGACCCCCTCACTGGAACTCCCTTGTCCCAGTCAATCTTCAGATTGTCCCCAGGGAGGTGACATTGCCAAAGTTTTCTGAGCCCCTTTATACGTTCTCTGCATCTGAGGATCTTCCAGAGGGATCAGAAATAGGGTCAGTCAAAGCTTTTGCAGAGGATCCCATCATATACAGCCTGGTGAAGGGAACCACTACAGAGAGTAACAAGGATGAGGTGTTCACACTGGATGAACAAACAGGGGTTTTGAAAATCAACAAGGCCATGGATCATGAGACCACTAAGTGGTACCAGATCGATGTTATGGCTCACTGCTCACATCAGGAGACTGAGCTGGTTTCTCTGGTCTCTGTGAACATTCAAGTGCAGGATGTCAATGACAACAGACCTGTTTTTGAGGCAGATCCCTATAAAGCTTTTGTCATGGAGAACATGCCTTCAGGAACCACAGTAATTCAAGTGACAGCTAACGACCAGGACATGGGAAGTGACGGACAGGTGACCTACAGTCTGGAAGCAGAATCTGGCAACCTCCAAGGACTCTTCACCATTGATGGTGAGAGCGGGTGGATCACCACACTAAAAGAGCTGGACTGTGAAGATCAGGAGATCTATCGGTTTTATGTCGTGGCCACTGACCATGGCAGGAAAGTCCAGCTTTCTTCCCAAACCCTGGTGGAGGTCACTGTCTCTGACGAAAACGATAACGCACCACAGTTCACCTCAGATTTCTATAAAGGATCAGTAATTGAGAACGCAGAGCCAGGGCAGGTTGTTGTCACCCTGAGTACCATCGACGCAGACATCTCTGAGCAGAACCGGCGGGTCACATGCTACATAACTGGTGAGTTTTTCCTGACTTTAAATCTTCAGGGAGGGAGAAGACAGTATCCCCTCAAAGTGAGGATTTGATACCTTGTCTTACAGAATGTTAATATAGAAACAGCATTATACTGACAGTCCCCTCAGAAGCAGGAGATGAAGACTGAGCTCTGGCATGAGCTGGACTCCCCAGTTAAATGAGTCTGGGGTATCCAAAACTCTTTAGTAACGAACTGCAGTGGGTGGAATTATTATAGTGACTATCTCACCAGTGAAGTGTCCTATTTATTTAGAAATAAATAAAAGTAATGACACAGTACTATAGATTTAACTGTTCCTGTGTTAAGAAAGTGTAATTAAATACGGCAGTGTAACTGTGGTCCTTATTGAAAGGACAGTAGCAGTGGTACAGGAGGAAGGCAGAATTTTCTCACAGATACCATGATCTGTATTTGATTTCTTTGACCCAGCTTTTTCTCCCACAAACAGTGCAGTCAGTTTACACATCACACCTACGTGTAGCCTGCCTGCATTTTTTACTAACTATGTGTATGCACATAGCATGTGTATCACTTTCTGGTATTAAACGTGTTGCCTGTGAAGCTGCTTTGACTTCAGGAGACCTCACAAGGCTGCAGTTAACCACTCTGCAGACTGGTGGATGTTTGTGAGTGTCTTGTCAATCTTAGTGAAGCTTCTGGCAAACAAGAAACACTAAAGAGGACTCTTGCATCCCTGAAACATCATTTGTGCCAACTAAAATTAACCACTGCTGCAAAACAACAAAGAAGTTACACTGGAATGTTTGTTGTGTGTCTGCACAAGTAGAAGCTTGATTTTACGGCACTTTTTGAACCCAAAAGGTCTCTCTCAGACCTGGACAGATATTTCAAATTAAAATGTTTGTTCGAACTCAAATGAGGACCTTTCAGGGTCAAAACATTTAGCCAGATCATGCTGCAGCCTGTTATCTATTACTGTAACCATCCAAAACAGGGGAGGAATGCTGGTACTTTGGGTTGGTTTATGGCATTCTTAGGCATTTGCAAGTCTTTGGGAGGAAAGCTTCAATCCATTTATGTATTCACATTTCTACCACCTTAAAGCTTGTAGTACCTTCCAAATACTTTAAACCTGAGAGGAGGCACACTTATATTTGTAGTGAATACCACATGGTCTGTGTACTTGCAAGCACAGGTCAAACACTACCCACAACCATATAGACAGCACTGCAGCAAAGGAAAAAAGGAGGTGAACACAGAGTCGAGCTTCCCACTGCTCCCAAACACACAGAAACTAACTCTGAGCATGGGCTGGAGTCTCCCAGCATCAGAAGAAGGGCTTGCAGAGGTCTCATTGTGCCTCCAGATTCACCACCTCATCGCCACAGCACAAACAAAAGCAGAGAGGGGATTTCATTTCCCCGGCTGTGCGAGGCTCTTTTGAGTCCAACACAAACCAGCCCTGCAGCCAGCTCTCCTCACTGCCTCCCATGACCTAACGTGCTTCCTC